TAAGTAGTAATCTGTAGAGACTCATTTAGAGCATGCTCTACATTCATTACTTTAAATTATTTAAATAATTCCACTTCTGTCTTCAGCTGCAGGATTTTACAAAATAAAGTAATCCATATGTTATATTTTCAACTGATAAAAAACATTTACGAGGATTGCAAATAAGCGACAACATATCCAACAGGCTGTGCTGTAGTAGAACTGGACTAAAGAAATCCACAAAAGCCAAGAGTGCCAACATAATGCATGAACCATGTGCTACAAAATCACCAATTTCTTTTGGATATTTGCAAGCCCTCTACATGGATTATACAAGATATCAGGAGTTTGAAATGGCCTAACCTCTTTTCTGCCGCTCCCAATTCATTCAGAGCTGACAGTTTTCCTTTTCTCTGCGAACATGCTCTTGTCATTAGCATGCCTCTGAACTTTGCCTCACAATGTCTCTTCTGAATAGTTCTGATGAATTATTTCATCCTGTACAGGGCTTACTGCAGGGCATACACATGTGGGTGCTTCCTCTGGCCCGAGTAGAGTCTTTTCATGCTGGTGCAGGACGGACACCTGTTCCCGTGCCCCGCTAAACATGACCTGAGTGTGCTGCTGACATTAAACTGTGCATGTAAGAATGCACTAATTTAGGGGCCTGCAGGCACACAGTAAGGCTACTATCTGTATTTCTTTTCTTGTATTCATAGACTATAAGAGTAGCGTTTTAAAAAAGTCATGCTTAACCTTAAATGTTTTCTCCGCAAAATTTTTACATAATTATGGTCAGAAATATTGAGGCAATTTATTAAAACCTGCAACATCACAATTAAAATATGACACAATGTTATTGCCACAAAGTGCAGCATATGTTATGACAGCAGTAAGATAGGAAAGATGGTCTGTTGATTTTTGGTAAACACAACTACAGCGTAGAGCATAAATTTGAAAGTAAAAGATCATTCAGGTACAGTAGCTATAGAAAGAGGCAGGTTCAACAGTACCCCTGCAGAAAAAGGCTTGGTTTGCTTTGTGAGACCGAAGACTAAGTCTATTTCATGATCATGATAAAACTGACATCCATTTGTGATAAACAGGATAGATGGATGGTTATAAAACACTTGAGCTGTGTTTGTTGTGAGTGATTTTATTTGACGGAAGATGAAGTTCTTTGTTTGCAAAGTAATGTTATATGTTAGAAGTTATGTCTGGTGTCTTAGAAGTGGGCCAGTATATGCATGACACAATGAACACTAAAACTGGCTAACTAACTAAAATATATGCATTTGTCTCTTAAGAGTTTAACCATGTATCATTCCCTATCTGAATTAATGAGTGCTCAGTGTGCTGTAGTTACAGATAACATTTCAGTTTTATATGAAGAAATAATCAGGAACTACAGACAGATATGAAGAGTTTAGACCTCAAACATAGCTATACAGTAAGCACTTTGTTTCAGGTAAACCGAAAAGCATCTAAGCATTGTGTAAAAGTGAAACTCTATGCTGATACAAACTCTCACTGTTATTAATGCTGTCTTAAAAGTATCACTGAAGTATAACTGCTTCTAATCTGGAAAGCTTTTGTTAAATTCCAGTTCTTATAATTCTAACATGCATCACATCCATAGTTAAACACTCCACAGTAGTAGAAATTAAGTGTAAAGGGGCAGGGGTTCTATTCAGAGCTCCTTCACCCCATCCTTAAGAGTGAGCTTAGGCATCCTGTGAAACCAAGCTCATCTCGGCCGCTTGTATCTGTGATCTTATTCTTTCATTCATTACCCAGAGCCTCAGACCTTAGATGAGGGTTGGAGCTCCACATCTCCTGCATAATTGCTAATTACCATTTTAGCCTCACTGATAAACAAGATCAACTCTGAGACTCTCTTATTCCCTCACTTGCGGTAACAACTTTTTCATAACCAAGGAGGCAATCAAGTTTCCAGTAGACTATAGTCTCAGGTGCTATCACTTCGTAATCCTATATGCTGGGCTTGGGCTGTAGTAGCCCAACAAAACTACATCACCAGCAAAAATACAGTCCTGACACTAAACATTCAGCCCTCAGCTGCAGCCTCTGTCCAAGAAAATCACAAACAGAATAGGGGACAGCTTTAGCGGAGCCCTATGCCCTCTGCCACTGATGAAAACAGACACAACAATCATTGAGCCTGTGCCTATTGGATGGTAAAATTCATAATTAGTGGGATTTTTGATTTCTTTTTTTATGACAATATTGACAATATCTGACTTCACCAGCTTTAGATTTCCCTTAGATATTAGTCAAGCACACAAAGAGCTCATTAACCGGTGAGTTGTGGACGTTGTAGTTTTTCTGGTGTTAGTTTCACTTGCTCTTCTTGAGGTTATGAGTTAGAAATCAAGGCCTTTTTGGAGTCACTGGGCTGAAATGTTGCCCCAGCTCAGCAGCCCTTTTTAGCTCTGCTCGTCAAACTGCAGTCGCACATCTGCACCTATATATCAAAGCCGTGCACAAAAACATTCCTGAGAGCAAAGCAGAGGTGATTTGTGTGCCTTTCTCCGTCTTTTTTTATTAAAATTCATCTGTGATCTAACTGTTCACTCGGCTAAAAGCTATACCTTTTAAATCAGTCATCCGTCCAGAACTTAGACCTGCACCACATTAAGACCAGCACTGACATCACAACTGTTTCACCTCTCCCCGCCGCGCCTCACGCTTCTTTCATATATTTTCTCTTGTCCTCAACAGATGGACAATCTTGCAGCCAGAGATTTTTTAGAGTGTTTAATAAATGTAATACAACCTATATAGTGTTGAAGAAAGAGGCCTAAACCAGAACCATGTGCACAGAGTGGATGGCAGCCGTTAGGGGCCACGGCTAATATGGTTCAACATGTGGACCCGGCCATGCAGGCAGGTTCACTTACATGTTGGACAGTTTATGACCTTCAGCGTTGTTCCCTCAGAATGTAGGCCGAGTCCTTACGTTACTACTCTCTAATTTATAGCGCAATGTTTTGTTTTTAAATACACCAATTTATTCTCTTCTAGAGGAGAGTAATAAAAGGACACAGGTGATGTTGGAATGCAGTGTCTTTCATGTTTTATCTCACAAAAGGAGTAGTACTGTGGTATTATGTTCCTATAAAGGGTAATATATGAAAGTGTTTGACTTATTGTCAAATTAAGGAAGAGTGTCATGACCCTGGTGGTGTATACGCATGCCTCTGGCCGTTATTTCATGTAGCTCAACCTGACACTGCTAACCACAACAGATAATAAAATATTCCTGAAAAGGAATGTGAGCAGTGATGGGACTGGATAAATCACAAACACTTGAATGTCAACCAGGAGCTGCATAGTGTGAATACCTAAAACAGTTAACGTATATTCCATTGTTAGACTGGGACTGTAAACAAAGGTCAGCGGACTTACATTTACAGTCTTTAGGAGTTTGTTTGTGTTGAAACTTTGTCCCTGCTAGCCACCCAAATTTAAATAAATTCCTATGTCCCTTTTTATAGTGACTTATTTGAAAAACAAAATTGAGAAACTGTTTTATCAAATCAAGTGAATTAAACAATTGAAAAATCTTCAGGTGCGTAAAATATATAAAAATCTAACAGATTCACAACATTGCCCACAATGACCTAGACTCAGAGGGAAAGGGATAGCTAACACGGTTGACACATTTGTATTATCTTACAGTTTATATCTTCATATTGCACAAGCCTAAATTCTTCTTTCCAAAGATACCATATATAATTTGATTTGATTTTATGATTTTGGGGGGAAAGTATATAAAATGAGGCACAAGATGTCTAGAATATCTCTATTAAGTTAAATGGAGCAGCCATAAAAACATTGAACCTTATATTTGAATGTTTCCATTTATGTACATCCTATAGCTTAAATGAAGAGTTGGAACAAGCTGGTGAAGAGAATATATATTAAAATATATAATACTGTCAGACAGTGTGGGTTTTTCAAGCTTATTGCTGTTTATGGGGAAATAAAATACAGTAGATAAAAACTGAATATTTAGGGAGATTAATATCCATTGCATTTGCATGTGATGAAATATAAACAGCCCTGCGATGGACCTTAGATGGACCTGTCCAGGGTGTACCCCTTCTTTCGCCCGATGTCAGCTGGGATTGGCTCCTGCCCCCCGTGACCCTGTATGCAGGATAAGACACATGGTTAGAAAAATTTCCAAACATGCTGTATGTATTCATTATTTATTTGGTTAAATACTGGTTAAAAGCAAAAATTAAACACTAACTCTGATACACATAACCTACATTTTTCCACATATTTTCTAGTTACAAGGTGACATTGTACTGCAATAATTCACCTAATGTTTATACCAACAGTTAATGCAAAACATGAGGGTGAGATCCTCAAACATATTAAATATTATCTGACTCACATTTTTGTACAGCCTAATATTTCACTACGCCCTAACATTTCATTCCGAGATGTACTCTAGATAAGTGCAGTAATCTCAGTTTGATGGATGGCCCAGCCGGAGCCTCCGGCCAGCAGTGTGTACACACTGCACTGGTTGTGGCAGAATGATAAAACCAACATAGGCAGGTGTGTTTGGTTAAGATGCACTTGTCAAGTGGGGTGACAAGCATGTCTGTGTTCATTCAAGTGAACCCCTTATCTGCACCTCCTTGTCCCACTCATGAGACAAAAGCACTTCCCATGTTTGTGTGATTTACCTCTCTCAAATAAAGTGCACCCCGAGCATATCTTGCAGAGGAGCGTGTCAACTAAAATCATTTATATAGCCTCTCATTAGGCTACTGCTTACCTGTGCATTACACCCACAAATCAGCACCGACAATGGAATACATCATTTGTTGTTCTTTTTTCCGTGTTTATTTTCTTCTTAATTGTTTAGATTTCTTCTCTACAGTTTATAACCTTTGTAGCCACAGTTTGTAGCGCGTGCCGCACTTTTTTGGGTTTTTTTATGCTTGAACTTTCACCGGGGTGAGGTGGAAGTGACGTCAGACTAGGAAGTAAAGATCGTCGCTGGCCGTCAGCAGTGATTAGCAACTAACAGCAACAGCTGCAGCAGCAGGAACTAACATTAGCTGGCATTTGCCTCAGAAACCACAACATGAATGTATTTGTGAAGGCAGTCTCTGCTTAGCTGAAGTGCTGAATGTCCTTCTAGTGTCGATGAAAATGAAACCGAGGTAAGCAGCTCTGTGTGTTTGCTAGCTCAGTAGCTAGCCACATATGGCTAACGTTATCCTGAAACAGAATGTAACAACAGCAAAGCTTCGTGTAAACGTCGTAAGTTAATGTTGCCTCGTAGTGTTTAAAGGTGCTTAGACGCATGAGTAACGTTAGACCTTAGCAGTCGTTTAACTTAAATAGCCGTTCGCTTTAAAGGTGCTTAGATGATTAAGGTAAATTTCACTCTAATATACTTCACATGGTTTTGTCAGTCCTGTAACATAACTAACGTTACAGCTACGTTTCTTGTACATTTGTGAATTAAACCTAGTCTTTATTCAAGTTTAACAACAGAGACACGGACTTACAAATGAGTTATCTGGAGATAAAACCTGGAGATAAATATAACGTTAGGCAGTGACAAAAAAAAATACACTTTGACACCACCCATGGTATTTTTACTTGAAAATAGGTGCATTTTGTTATTATAATGATTAATTTCGAAGTAATATATGAAACAATCATGCGGTCATCCCACTGAGTCAGTCAGTAATAAATTGACAATGGACCAACACCAAAATGTGTCACTGGATGAGATCATCAATTTCGGGCTCCAATTTAGGGAGAGATGTTTATAGATACTGTACAGTGTGGTCTTAATGTTTTCTGTAATAACTAACAAAATCACATGTTGTTGCAAGTGACTGCCATCAAAGCTGGCAAAATATATGTTCCCACATGAGTCATGTCATGGTTCTGGGAAAGATACTGATGCTGCTCTGTTTATTTCTGTGTGTTTTCAGATGACTCACCAGTGGCTTGGACATCTGTGATTTGACAGAAGATGAGGCTTGCTGAGTTTGTCGGACTTGTCACTACTTTTAATGATTGCTACTGTAGGCACATAAACCACACTGACATGTACAACAAACTATAGTGAATCATGTTTGTTGCTTTTTGCGCATCACTCTCACTAAAACAACTAACTACATACACTATCATTTAGTTTGTTTTGAATGGCTTTCAGTTGATAACCAGTGCTGACGATGTCACTGGGTGAGCAGTCTCAAAAGTGGTTTCCAACCCATGTCCAAGCCACTGTTCTTCAAGCAACTGGTTTACAGCCCAAGGGCAAGAATGGCACCAATGATGCCTACACTATCATCCAGCTGGGCAAAGAAAAGTACTCAACATCAGTGGCAGAGAAGACACTTAACCCTGTCTGGAGAGAAGAAGCCTCCTTTGAATTACCTGGTTTACTTTTGGAGGGCAACCCAGAAGTATATGAACTCTGCCTTATAGTGATGCATCGGTCCTTGGTTGGGATGGACAAATTCCTGGGTCAGAAGTCCATCAACCTCAATGAAATCTTTGATAACAAGGAGCGGAAGAAAACTGAGTAAGTATCATACTAGCATTAAAGTCCAAGATCTCACCTCAGGGTAGGGCTGGACGATATGGCCAAAAATGTTATAACGATAAAAATGTTTGTATCTTTCGATATTGATAATTATTACGATAAGTATCAAATCGTTATTTCTTTCGAGTTTGAAGGCTGATTTTTGCTCCTGAGTGACAGTGGATCACTTTACAAATCTGAAGTAGAACATTCAAAACAATTATGATAAAATCTTTTTTAACAAATATGCATGAGTAAAATTAAGCAAAAGCTTTTTTCAGTCCTCTACAAAAGAACAATAAAAGAATTAAGTCCTAATTCGTGTGTGATTCAAGTGAATAAAATCAACATTTTTTGAAAATTTATTGAACATTTGATATATTGTTATTAAAAAAAATTATATCGCAATAATTATTGTTTTATTGTCCAGCCCAAACTCAGGGTACATCATTTTACAACAAGCCATACATTTGAATTTGTTATAGGCTAACATTGATCTTATTTAATGTAATATAAGCATCAACTGCTGTTTTAATCTAATGAATTCAAGCAGAATTCAATCAGTCATGTACACCCATTAAAATATACATATCACCAATACATTATTAGAAGATAAATTCTTTTCTGCTGTAAAAGTCTAACCAAAAAGTTTTGCTCTATTTTATTCACAAACGCATGTTTTTGCAGTTTGGAGATACTTTTGGATTATCAAGGCAAGTCTATTGGTGAATATTAAACATGAAATTTAGGGCAACCAGTATGCTACGATTAATCTTCTATCTGTTGTTGATAGAGTCATTGCAATGCCATTACGTTACAATATTACACCCATTAAATGTTGCCAAGCTGATGAGCTTCTGGATTAATTTGTATAGTAACTGATATGTGGGCATTGGGATGTTTGTGTTGTATTGTGGATGGATAGTTGAGTTGAGTTGTCTTTTGAGCTCTATCGTGTGAGATACTTTTTATAGCATTCAAGTATTTTGCAACTCCTGCTCAAAGTCATGCATCAATGTGCTGCTGGTAGAAGAATGGACTTTTGAGTGGAAGTGGAAGTGGAAAATATTTGCAGAACTTTTCCAGTCATAAGTGGATTACAGCATGGGCTAAATAAGTTATTTGTCACAAGTGCTATTGCCATATTAGGTTACACCTAAAGGCAGTGTGTTGTGTTTTGTGAGTTATATTCTGTACTCTGTTCTCAATTAGGTTTATGACCTCACTCCTTTACACCACATGATTTAAATGCCATTGCATTGTCCTTTTATTCACTTCATGCACTTTGTTTTAAAAATACATTTTATTAGATAGATCTGTTTTGTTTTAAAGAGCAGACATTGAATTGTGTAGCCCAGTAGGTGAACTGGTCTAACAGAAACCCCAGATGGTTTCTTCTTCAGTTGCTAACACAACTATCACAGATGAAGTAGTACACTTGTGCTCAGTTAGTGACCACAGATTGATCGAACTTTTCCATGTTATCGACCATCTATTGTTTGAAGCTTAGCAATGAATTGGCTTGCATTGTTGTGAGATTATTGTCAGCTTAATCACTGACATGGTGAGCACCAGTTGGCCTAAATGAACCTAGTGGAGCCGGCCCGACGTGTCTTGTTATTCACTCCTGTACATACAATGATTTTCAAAGGTTGCTTTGAGAACCAACGGCCTGTTTGCATGTTCTTTGTGTTTTAATTTTGTCTGAATGCTCTGAGTGACGTCCTCAGCCCAAAAGGAATGCAAGTCAGGTGAAGTGGAGTTTGTAAATTGCATACAGGTTTGATATCGGTGGCCAAAACTGTGTGTCTGTCTGTCTGTCTGAGTCAGCCCTTTTATTAACGGGTGACTTGTCTTGGGTGTTTACCTGCCCTAAGCCTAGTGCATGCTGGGATAAGGTTTGTCCCATTGTGAAATTACTGTGTGAAAAACTGGAGCAGATAGAATAACTTAACACATGTAGAGTAAACTAAACTAACATATTGTACCATCTTAGCTTAAAGAGGCAGTATTATATTTAACCATAAACTTGAGGGTTTTGATTCTTACAAGTCCAACATATGTTTTTAACCCTGCGTAAGCAAACAGGAACAGAATAAGCCAATTGGATCTGGTGTTAATTAGCTCACTGCATATTTCAACATGGAAATACATTAGCACACTTCCTTGTTGCCCATCAGCTGGGAGAATCACAATATGTTATAATCATGGGTTTAATTTGTTTTAAGTGCCTGAGCGATGCACCTCCAGGCTGTGCACTTTGTCAGCAGAGGTTCTGTAATGGATATGCTAACGTTGCTTGTTGGCCTAATCCCACACTGCAGGCATACTTGACAATGATGCCAGGACCCTCGATACTATATCCACACTCCACAGTGGGTCTGTGTTCACCGCGGCCCATCCGCAATGTTTTTGAACTGACATATTGGGGAGGAAAGCCTGTCTTGATATCTGAGTAGGCAGCCCATAATTATCACACACCTGTGTTTGTTGATTGTGAGGAGTTTCCCAGCGGTCCGGGCCCGAGTGGGAGGATTGTAGTTCCAAGCACAGTGAGGTTTATCTTGGCCTTGAGACACACGTGAGGTGCAGCCCCGGCCCCACGGCAGCGGCATGCTGTGGCTGCTGATCAGACTGAGCTTGACGCGCAGCCTGGGAATCGGACCCAGAAAGGCCTTTTAGTCTGGGCTTCTGAGCCACGAGGTAGACAGTTTAGAATAGCGATCAACAGCTGCGGTTTTAAAAAAAGCCAGTACTAACATTTATTTTTGGATTGAACTGATAACTGATTTTTTTTCATGCTGGAATCCAAGGGATACTAAAAATCTCAATTTGATTCCTGGAAGAAATATCAGTAATAGTATGAAAACAAATGCACTTAAGCAAAAATGCTTTGAAGTTGACCTTTAATCTGATTTTAAAATGTTACATTTAAGTCAATTCCATTTAAGGCTTCTTCCCAAGAACAAACTGTAAGATTGAACAATTAATTAAACTGCACCATGATGGAGGTGGGTGAATGTGAATGTCAACATATTGATGTGACCATAGTTTAGAATACACCTGCAACATTTCCCAGATTAATGTGGCAAAAGCAGAAAGAGTGCATTGACTGGTAGTTGTTCATCCTGATGCTGGTTTCCTAAAGGACATTGTCACAAACAGAGGATATGTCTCATTAGCATGTGTGGACTGTTGGGTTGCGCTGCGATGTGGCTTTGCAATTTCCAATTGCTTGTTGTTGTATTTCCGAACAAAGGCCAGATTTGTGCAAATGCCACTGTATTTCGCTCAGAGTGAAGGCATAAATCCCATTACCTCCAGCTGAAAAAGCAGAGGTTAAACAAATAGGAGCCCAAAAGCAGCCTGAAATGGTCTATATTATTCAGCAGCAGGTGATGTCTTATGTTCAGTTTGCATAGAATAATGTTTGTCCTCTGAATGATAAATTGTGTTCTCACAAGTTCAAACGATTTAAGCCCTTGCATTTGTGTGTAGCTTCCTCGAGTAGCCTGCTCAAATTAACCTTTTTTTGTGGTGTCCACAAAGAAGTAGGTAGAGCAGCACCATTTGTCTTATTATTTGATAGTGTAATGACTTTCACTACATTCTGACTTTGTATACCTGTCTTCCTAAATTATGTTGAATCATGTGTAATTAACACGGAAGATTTTCATAAACCCTGCTCTTTTTATATAAATTCTCTCTTGAATTTGAACTTCCTCCACTCTCATTTTAGCTGGTATGCTTTGGAGTCCAAGCCGGGGAAGAAAAGGAAAGAGCGTGGCCGCATCCAAGTCAGCATCCAGTTCATGAGGAACAACATGACAGCCAGCATGTTTGACCTCTCCATGAAGGAAAAGCCCCGCTCGCCTTTTTCCAAACTTAAGGTCAAAATGAAGGGTCGCAAACACGACAGTGGCTTTTCTGACACATCTTCAGCCATCCTGCCTCGCTCTGCCATATCCGACTCAGAGCCCAACCGCCAATCCTTCGCTCCAGAACGACAACCTCCGCCTGAAGCAAAGGTCAAGAGACCACTACTCGCTGGGACCCATAAACTCTCTGCTGCCCATTCCATGTCAGATCTCATTGGAACCCACTTTCGGCCCAAACTGGACTCCATGAACTCCATAGAAGAGAGTGGTGAGGACCAAAGCTTCATTTTGTATGATTTGTTTTTTTTGTTTTCAAGGATGGAGGACTGTTGTACAAGCAAGAGATGGTCTCAAAAATTTCAGCTATGTTTGAAAGATAAAATGCTTAATTCTCAATCACTAAAATGACAGAGCAGTATTATTATATTGTTTATTGTTGATGCTATTTTGCATCTTGGCGGGTGTCTCTGAACACAATGTTTTTGGTGTCTTGTCTTAACATAGGATGCTGTTGCAATTTCTAGTGCCCATCAGTAGAGGTCGATAAAAGACACAAAGCTATAGGGATATATAGAAATATACAGGATGAATCACAGCTAAATCAGATAGATATTTAAGTAAATAATATCTTTCTGTGACCTTTATCGATCTGTATTGCTAACCAGTGTAAAACTGGCCTGAACTTTCCAGCTCCACCAGCCTCCCATTTGCCCCCTCTGTCCTTTTGTGCTGTAGCTGCAGCTAATGCAAACAATAGTCACAGTTTTTACAAAAACAACACAACAGAGAGCCATCAGGAAACGCATAACAATGCAAAACAAGTTAATAATGATGATGATGGAAAACATTTTGTTTTTCCCAGCTGAAATGCCATCGGTTGCTCCCTTTTACTGTCCTGTGTAGCAGCCGAAAAAGGATGGCTGAGAATGGGTAGACTGAAATGTCTTTTAATAATCGTTCAATAATGGTTCAAAATCTTTATCTGGTCATGTCAGTTTTTCAGGTCCAGTATTGATCAGCAATCATTTTAGACCCTACATGTACGATGTGGTCATTTTGTTCTGAAGCAGTAAAATTCATACTTTTTCCAAGAGAATGCAAGCCATCAGCTAACGATCAGAGGTCCAATGGCCTAACTGTTTTCTAAATATACAAATTTTAATAAAAAACAAATTAATAAACATTACTCAACTTGCTGCTCGGTCTACCTTGACTGTCCGACACTACACAGCTGAGGCAATGACGTTATGATGATTTTGACTTCTCTTACAAGCTCCTTTGTGATTATTCACATTGGCATTTGGGATGGACCCTGTCCAACGTTCTGAAGGTAGAAGGGACACAATTGCAGATTTGGAGGGTGTAAATAAAATTTAACATGCTGTCCTTACCTCTCCCAATAAAATGTTTCGTTTGTGGTGTGGTATCAGTTGAAAGAGCCACAAGACCCACTTGAAAAGTAACATGAGTAAATGCTTAGACACAACACAAAGGAGATTTTTACAGGCTCTGTTAAAGTGTTCATGTACAAAATTGACCCATTCTAATGACTCAAATCAGTGATTGCTATTGGCCATTAAAAATTAGATCATGATTAGAAAATAACCAATTACTGTCACGGATAATCTATTATAATATTATTATTATTATATTAGTTGATGTACTACTCTTGGTTTCTCTTCCAGGGAGTGCAGGCGGCCCACACAGGCGTTCCCAGAGCGAGGTGCCAGGCTACCAGGACGGTGAGGCACACGGTGACCCTTTTACTGATATCAGTGACACCCTGCCACAGAAGTATGCCACGCTCCCACGCAATCGCAACCCATTTGAGGGGGAGCATGGGCAGCTGTGGGACCGGGCTGAGCGGAAGGAGAAAAAGGAGAAGGTCAGCCTACTGGAACGCGTCACGGGAAAGAAGGAAGGCCGCAAGACCAGCAACGGGGGGCGTTCGGGCAGCTCTGGAGACCTGCGTTCCCCTAACCCCTTTAGTGAAGACTCACAAGCAGACACTAACCCGTTCATCTCCAACTACAAAACCAGGTCATCCCTTTTTTGTTTACTCTGTATGGTTAATCAAAATTAAAACAAACACACCTCCAGTATAGCATACTTTTATTCATCTCACAAAACATTTTCCACTATCCTGCCCCCATTAGGGTGGTGTTTGAGGCTGTTTCTGGTTTCCTTATAAACAGTTCCATTGATCACTGACGTGATCTATAAATAATCATATACCAAGTATATAAAACAAGATTTAAAAAATACCATTATTACCATTAGTGGGTGAAGAAACTTACAAGAGAGATTACCATAAATTAAAAACATAATATATTAGAGCCACCTTTTCAGAAAATTATTTAGCAAATACAGTATTTCTTTGTAACCCATCAATGTGTAGAAAGGTCTACCTATCTTTTTAAAACGTAAATAATCATAACTAATTTTAAACTCAGTCTGCAGTAGACCTCAACACATCCAACTCAATTAACTAAATGTCCAGTTCTTAAATATATCTATTCTTTGAGAACAAATAAAATCCGGAACATGGTACAAAAATGGCTTCAAGTGCAATTGCTCATTTATCCCCCTTGGGTTTAGAGTGCTCGTTTTTAGAGATACTCCCTTCTGAAGGAGCAACTTCTATAAATGTCCCTCTGTCTGTTTGACATACATAACATACAATCAATGCTCATTTATATTTAAATTTGCCTTTCTTTTGATTTGTACATATCCTGGCAATGGATATTTATGAGACAAGCCTCCTGCAAGGTTTTGGTTTGCTGGTTTATTTGAACAAATTCAACAGTTCATTTCAAACTTGTTTTTCATAGTTGTCTTGTAATATGCGTGTGACTTAAAACCTGACTAACTTGCTAATATGTTTCACTGATACATCCATTTCCCCCATGCCCTAATGTATCTGCCATCCACATTGCTAAAATCTGCATTAAGCACCTGCGCAGCAATGGTTCTTACACATTTGTAGCACATCGCTACAGCATGTTTTTCATCATATTCCATAAATCATCTCACAATTTCAAAATGTGATCTTGCTACCCCATGGGACAACCGCTGTACTAGAGGATATTGGTTACCACATTCCCATAAAGTTTCACATACCTGAAACAGATTGAAATCTACTATCTGATATACCCCCTTCTCGCTCTCATTATGTTGTCAAGAATTGTTGTACAAACATTTCCACCAAGCCGTTTATGTCTATTTCCTGTGTTACATAAAGAGTTGGTGAGCACTGTGGCTAAGTTCTAGTTTTATCAGAATGGAAGGTGTCATTAGTGGCTCTTTAGAGAGCCTGGGCTTGATAACAGAGCCCTCTGAGCTATAGTAATGAGATCCTCTGTAGAGATAGACCACCCAATTAACCACTTATCTCTGTAGGCACTAGTCCATCATCTTTACTGCTGCCTTTGTCATGCAGTAGCTCAGTGGTCATTTATAATGTGGTGCATGAATACAAAGGTGGTTTAAAGTATATTATTTACTGATGAACTTACCCATATTTTGAGCAAAAAAAGTCACCAATAATATCCAAATTTGTTTTATTAGCACAGGGGATAGTCATCTGAGCCTCTGTATTAGTAGAATGGTGAGAATTATACCAAAAATATTACTGTAATTACTGCCAATATCAATACTGACTTCCTCTTTGATTTCTTTGCAGTGATAAAAAGTCAAGAAATGTAGATATCACCTTTGGCCAAAGGAAGGACATCGATGGCAAGAAAGACGTAAGAAAGACAGCACAAACTTCCATGTCAAACTAAATGATTCGTCAGGTTATATTGTTGCACGTTGTCAGTGTTACCTGACAGCAACGCTGAAGAGAAGCAGCAGTTGCAACTGTGTCCTTACTTCCTGTGTAGTGTCATGCAGATTTTTTTAATTGAGAACTTTTAAGTTTCATATGACATAGCAGCTGGTGCCAGTGATCTCTGAGGCCTCTGAAAATTTGTGTGTGCCGTTCAGCTAATTAGCAGCTGCACACATCGGTCATCATGTCTGATCTGATCATAATTTGAAGTGGTGTGAAATTTCGGTCTGTAAGGTCAGTCACAGTGGTGTGTTGCACTGATTCTGTAATTAGTTTTTTGTTGAGAAAAGCCATAGAATTGTCATTTATTTTTCTTTTTAATGATTCTTACATTATTTGTTTTTACCTTTTTTTTTGTTTTGTAGTTTTTTTTTTTAGATGAAGTTCTTTTACATTTCCAATTTGGAAAAAAAAACATTTGAAGACTGTTGCACAAAAAAGTGGCATTTGTAGGGAGTGGTGGGGGCAGTTGCTTAAGTGATGCCTAAATGAGAGAGAGAATGCTGATAATGGCTTTCCTCACCTTTCTTTGTGGGTGTTGAGGGCTGTCGGTATCCACACATGTTCCCCGTGCATGCCGCAGTGCCTTGCAGAAATGGCAGCTCCCATTTCCTCTGCTTCAAGGCCCTAATTAACCACACACAGGGAGGAGGGAGGGCAGTGAGAGATTTCAAAGGACTGAGCTTTTAGATTCTCAAAGCTGAGCTCATTAGAAACTGTAATGACACAACTGGAGAATGCCAAATCTTCTCCTCACTACTGATCGCAGAAAAATGGTCATCATTACTTTGCCAATTCATGGTCAATTCCAGGCCTTTGTCACCAGCCACTAAAGCTCCTGATTATAATGGTGTGTGTGTGTGTGTGTGTGTGAGAGAGGGAGGGAGAGCAAGCATTTGCACGTAACACATGCTTGTATGTGAAACCAACAGTCACTTTCATATGGCTGTCAGTTCTCGTATTCCCTGTCAGATGGCTTAAGTGCAGTATCTTTCAGTGAGATGCCTTTTTTGTGTGTGTTGTGTGCGAGGAATAGGTTACCGAGCTCCATTCTCGAAACCCTCCTTACATTGGACATTTAATCTCGGTGGCAAATATTTCATTTTGGTTTGTGTTGCCCCACAGTAGCCTCTGTGCTGTTAGGAGCGATAAGATACCTGGTAAGCAGTCCCGCTCCAGGTCTTTCTGCATTGTCTTTACCCAGCAGTAGAGGCTTGAATGGTGCATGGGAGTGGAAGCTGATAAGTGTGGTATTTTAAACAGGGTGAAGGCTTTGCTGCTCTATCCGTTCGGGGGAGGATGCCCAGCACTGAAGCGATAAAGTGGTCCCTCATTAAAAACGATTACAGCTCCTCTCGTACCCGCGCAATATGATCTGCACATACTGTACCACACTGCTCTGTCCAAATAGGTTGTCCTCAAAGAGCAAAGCTGGGCTTGGGTTGCATCCTTATTTTGGTATTTATTAGCCTGACATTTAATTGCAGAAATATGCAGCCTGGCATTTCCCCCTCAAAACAAAGTTTCCATTTTTTGGGAAATCTTTATTATTAAGTTCTGGCAGGCTTGTTAGAGTTTGTGCCTGAACCTTATCTAGTTGGAGAGCTCATGCTTTTTAGATGCTTGAAACTAAAGAAAAAAGGGGAACAACAGTCTTAAGATGTTGGCTGCTTACTGTAGTGTCAAAGTTAAGTCCCATTAGAGTCGTTAAACTGCTCGAGTCGTTCTAAACACTGTTACACAGTATTAGATCATAACATATGTCGTAGAATTCATTGACATGCCAGTGCTTAATCCCGTGAGAACAGTCTCATCTTAACAACTCTCAATTAGCCTTTATTAGCAACAGAGAACACGAGATAAACACGTGACAGTTTATGTCATGTTAGGCCAACACGTCTAATTAGTCTATTTTCTCTGTTGCAGTGTAAATGAACTTAAAGGGTATCTTTACTCTTGCCTCTGTTATCAGATGCTGACATTTCATAGAAAATCATTCAACCATTTTAGTCTACTTCTACACAAATAATATATGCACAATATGGCGAATATTAAGTGTTAACCTCAAAATGTGCTGGGGTTAAATTGAGCATTTACTTATTTTCCTTTTTCAGGAGATGACAAAGGAAAGAGCGGCCGCCTATAGCAACTTGTCCTTTGAGGAAGTTGTGCAGGAACTTATCAAGCAGAAAGAAGTGGTGAAAAAGAAAGACGCCCACATCAGGGAGCTGGAAGACTACATCGACAACCTACTTGTGCGCGTCATGGAGGAGACGCCGAGCATTCTACGGACACCCTACGAGCCAAAAAAGAAGGCGGGTAAACTAAGTAAAAAGTAGAAAGAAAAGACACAAGATGAAAAGCTGCTGATGAAGGTTTAACAGTAGCTCGTGTCAGTTTCATGTGGTAAAATAAGTGGTAACAAATGGGATTGATCAAAACCAATTTTATGATTGAGTTATGTCTTTGCTTTAGAACATTTTCATTCACCATCAACTAAAATAACCAAAACATCCCACATGTTTTGGTTATTTTAGTTGATGCAGGTTTTTTGCACTCTTTGTTTGGCAGAAATATTAATTACTTGTGATTACTTGTTTGCGGTGCATTTTAGGTACTTAAACAGGATGCGAGAAATTCATCGGTTGATTCAAGTCAAATCAAATCCATGTTTTTGAAAAAGATTGGGTTTTAGTACCAATATTGTATGAACTTGTGAACTCTGAGGTCTGTTGCACATACAGCTGCCATCATCTCCCAAAAAGCTCCTACAGTGCAAATGCAGCCAAATTCATGTTTACCAGATGCTGTAGTCACAGTTGTATGAGGTTGTTGAATGTGGTTGATGAGATGAAGCTGTTACTTTGTTTACACTCAAGCACGACTCTTAAACTTGGCACCTAAAAACTACAAAACCATTCAGCAGAGGGAGCATCAGCCTTTTTTTGAGAGTGAACTCTGCTCTTCCACATAATAGCCTGAGTGATTCATGGGTATTCTTAGAAAGATTGGAAGACAGTTACGGTAAGAATTTGCTGGACAGTATCTGGGAGTCTGGTTTCACTCTAGCTTACAGAGTCGTGCATATTTACAAAAAAGAAATGGAACAAACGTTTATTCTTATCAGTTATTGACTTTTCTTTCTTTACTGTATTTGTGATGACTATCATTTAAGTTTCTTGTACCAAGGGTCTCGATCACTGGCTCAAGGGGAACATTTTACTGACTTTATGTGCAATAATCATAACTTGAGTATCTTGCTTTATATTCTGCTGGTAATGTTCTTGTTTACATTTTAATCACATCTCTTGAGTTTAACTCATCTCTTAATATTGATTTGATTCACTGGAAAAGCTTGGAGTTCTTTGATGCAGCCTCCACAGATTGACCAGCCTTCATCTCCTTTAAATACAGTTTTTTGCTGAAGATTGTATTAATGGTACAGAGCTGCACATGTGGATATTTGCTGAACAATCTTTATTTATAAGTATTTTGTAGCTTATTTACATATGAACATTATTTCAAGGTATTTTTAAGGTACTTTATAATAAAAACTCTACTGTATCCCAATGCCCCCTCACCACCTGTTCTATTGTATTAACACTGTACAGTTAGTACAAGTCCACCAACAGAGCTCAATTAATAAAATATCCATGTATTAAGGTTTTTATATAAATGTTATTAGCATTAATATCTGTTTACCTTTAATGGTAATCTAGTCACAAATGCATTGTGTTCTGTTCCTCAGTATATTTCAGCTATTGTTTTTCTTTTTGTTTTATCAAAAGACTCCAATTTTTAACATTCATAAAAGATTAAGTGTGTCTTACCAGTTCACTGAGTACTAATGAGAATGATTCCCTAATTGTTCAAGGTAAACATCCAATCAGTGTCATTCAGGTTAAAAATAACAGCCCAGCGGACCGTGAGGAGATACTCGCTGAATTTAACAAAAAGACGTGTATCGGATTAGAATCGTATACCCAACTTCAATTCTGTTAATTTATCAGTTTCTGCTGAACAAATACTGATTGAGCTACAGCGCTGCACGGCTGGTACAAAAATGAACTAAATGACAACTTAAGTCTCTGAAAGAGGCCAAGTTTTTTTTCACCTATACCTGAGCTTGTGCTAGATGTTCAACATTAGTACGATCACTTACTGATGTTTAGGTTTACATTTTCAATTGTTTATTCCTATTTATGAAAAGCAGCTTCATGTACAGTGTTAAACGTACTTTGTAGTATCAAAGTTGCACACAGTTTTTAATAATTGATGACGATCCACCTTGTCCTTCTGGTATGTATATCTGTTTTTATTATTACTTTCCAGTCTCATGTCTTTATAATATTTGACCTTTACACTGTATGATACCAAATCACAGCTGAGACAAAGTGCTACAATGTGTTTATGGAATGTCAACGATCAAAAAGACTTTCAGTCTGTTTTTATTTTTCATGAATTTCACACCACTTTGAAACACATTTTTGTCATGTACTAATTTTCTTTCTGCTGCTGTGAAAGTAGTTATTTCAGCCAAACATACGGATCACTATTTGGACCAAGACAAAATTTCTTGTAACTGAATGTATTGTGGTTGGCTTTGAAATACATAATTCTGAAATGTATAATAATATACAGTACACTAACAAGGGCATCGAACCTTTCTTGCCTTTAAAGTATTTGGTGTATCCAAAGAGATAATTTCATGTGGGTGATCCCCCCCCAAAAAAAAAAACACACACACACTTCTTTGTAGTAGTCTGACAAAATTCAGACATCTTCATTATGGATATGCGATGATGTGACACAGATGTTGGGTAAATTCCTTTGTATTGGAAAAGCTGATCTGCATATATTTTTTAAAGCCAAAAATGTTGGAATCAGTTCATAAAATGATGAGTATTATGTGACACTAATTAAGACAATATGTGGATAAGAACCTGTTTTCCATTACGGAAACACTTCTCACTGATTGCCTTTCTACATGTGCTGAAGTGTAAACTATGTCTTCTCGTGTTACAGGCTTTAACTAGTCTGTATTGGTAGTAAGTCAGTTGTTCATAGACTTTGCCAAGCTCTTAATACTTCCAGTGTACATACTGTATAGTGACTTTGTAATTTCACTTCACCTCCTTTTGACCTTCTGCACATTTTGTTGTACTGTACAATGTTTTTAAAAAAGTGCTTTATGGGGATTCTTTTGTCTGAGGTTCAGTCAGTGGGAATAAAAGTATAACACTGAATGGTATTCACCACCCATCTTTCATTTGAGCTAAACTGACACTGGGAAATAGTGATTTAATAAATAAATATATATATATATAAATTTCCTGGCAGTGATATTTTTGTGTAGATCATATTGAGCATCATGGAGTAATTCTCATACAGGGTATGGGACAGGTGATTATACACTTAGGTCTACAATGTGCCCTGAAGCCCCATTGCTTTGCTTGAATGATGAAATAACAAAAGATAAAGTCTTAAAAAAATGTTGAACACATTTGGACCCTGAGGTTATTTAGATCAAATGAAAAATGAGGGGTGAGTAGTTAAAATTAATTAATTTTGCCTGTCACTTTTTTCTTTTAGCTTGATTGCTACATTTGCTTTATGCTTTAATGTAATTTGGTGCTTTGGTAGATGTCAGAGTAAAACACAAATCTAAATGAAAAGCATTTTCAAATCATTTTCTTTCACAATAGTGTACGGGGGTACACTGCAAAAAAGCCCTGCATCATTATTATACTTCTTCCTTGCTTCTTTGCATAATATTTGTCATCCAATTAATGCCAGTGTTTGAATATGCAAAACACTCAAAATGCTTGGAGGCACAATTCCCTATAAAATTTGGCCATGGCCTGTGTCATAATTAAAATTTATATAGATTGTTTTGCACATGCGTTAAAGTACGTTGTAAGAGTTGCAGATGAATGTCCACCCCATTCCAAAAAATAGTGCAAACATATGCGGATTTTCCCCCCATGTTCTTGAAGCATGCATTGCATCAAAACCTTTTGCCGAAGATGACATAAAGCTAGAGTCGGATCTCACAATCCTCCTCTGGCAGTCTTCTACTGATAATATGATGCTGCTTGCCATAGGCCACATACAGCTGCCAGACACTAAGACTTAAGCTCCCGCTAAATCCCCTGACGGTGCTTGTAATGTGGCACACAGTTTTGAAGGAAATGATGACTGTGTTTATAAAAGATCTCACCAGTTAGCAAAGCTTTGAGTTTACAGGATTGTATGGAGGCTGGTGCACAGAAGCCAGCACAATTAAACATATGAGTTGAGTTTAGTGCCCCAACATGGTGGAGACCTAAAATGACATTTTGATACTAACATGGTCTATGTCTGAAGGTAGTCGATGTGTACTGGGCCTCGCAGCAAGAGGCTTTGTGATGTAACAAGATAAAGTAAGTGGGTGTGTTTGGATTTTTGTTGTTTCTGCATGTCAATCACATGTTTATTTTCATCAACCCTCACCACACTACCTTATTGTAATGTATTTAACTCAAAAGTTGCACAGTGTGTAAGTTTGATTACAAACGTCCTTTTATCGAAGAATGTTGAGCTTTTGTTTAAGCCAATATGCAAGACTTTCACACCTGGATATTTGGGGACAATAATGTATGGCTTTATTATTATTACTGTAATTCTGGAAACATCCATTTTGATAACAGTACAATGCTGTTAATGGTGACTATATGTAAAGTGGCAACACAATCTCTTATTCGATTTGGTAATGCATTTCTTGATCTTCACCTATTCTCCATGTACAGTTTCAAACATTAACTTTTCAAACCATCAATCACATAATCAAATTCCAGTTTTCTGCCGGATATAGTTTGAAAGGCACAAGCAAGATTGTATTTTCCTTTTCAATAAACTCACTGTAAATGAAAACTTCTAAATTGTTGTATTGTTTTTGTTTGATTTTTTTAGGCAGAAAGATCAAAAGACATTTGAACCACAAATGAAATTACAATTTTATAATATGTATGAACATACACCAGATTTGGTTAATCCAACACTGCAGTGTTAATCTGATGCAAATCTTCCACGAAGTGGGTTACTTTTCGGCTGTTCCTTGCGTTCAACACCTGTCCTATCATTCTTACGGATGAATTAAAAACTACTCTCCATTAACTGATCTCACTGGCAGTTTAACCGTGATTAGTGTTTTTAATTGTGCTGGTTTGTGTCAAGCTTTTGTTTTTTCTCCCTGCTCAAAGCAGCTCTTCCTTTTGTTGTGGAGAAATTCCCATGACTTCCTGCTAAAAGAGAGAAGTGGCATCGTTTGACAACTGAGTAGCAAGATTGCTTGTTAAAACTCCACTCTAATTTGCCTATGTGTGCAACAAGACTGTGTGAAATCTTTTGGGACAAGAAACTTGAGTTGTTTACCGGCTGATGCTTTTGTGGGTCGGCTTGCTTCTCTGTCATCCCGCCACGCAGCAGGTTAAAACGTGACCTCTCCTCGGTCACCTCAATCGAGTAGTCCCTGAAGAGGTGTACCTAAACACTGCAGCAGCTGCCACTGCACACCACGGCACCATGTTAGGTCTGACGATGGGAGATGCATAGCAGTGGTAACCATGGACACCAGGAAAATACAAAATTGCTTACAGTGTACTTCCTTAAATGAAAAAATCTTTGAATGCTACAGGTGACAGAACCAGCTGTGCTAATTGAATAGTTAGGTTAAACTTTTTTGTTTATGAGGCTAAATATAAGTGTCATTATCACTTACATGCAACCATGCTCAAAGTTCATTTTAAGATATTTCTGCCTGGTGAAAGAATTGGCAGCGTGCATCCTGATGAATTTTTTATCCTCCTGTGTTAAGTTATAGTCTGCCTTGTGAGACACTGAACACAAATAAGTGTGTAATTGGGCTTCATGTAGGTGTCACCTGTTGTATTCATAAGCTAATTGGCATTCTCATTGTCATCCTTACACCTTCATCCACAGATTGAATTTCACAGATCGCAGCTTTTGTACGGCAGCGGCACGCGTCATCTGTGTGCCTCCTGGATAGATTAAAGATCATTAGTTCATTGTGCTTTATATCATATTTCTGTAATTTGAGGAAATATCCAACTAACGTGTTATGCAAGATTCTGTCGGTGGAGGGGAGCCCAAGCGTGCCAGAAAGGGCCACCCACAGGTCACCTGCACTCCCCTTTAAATATGGATGGGCATCATAGCAGGGATCAGTGTCAACCCGCACGCGTCTGTGAATGGAAGTGCCTCAGGCAATCATGGAGAAACTTATATGAGGAGAAAATTCAGCAGATGGATGAGGTGTTTTCAGGGGAAAAACCAGACCTATTTGGGCAGCTGGCCTGAACTTGTTGGATGATCGGGGGCCAGATGTCAAGGTTAACCCCTCAAACTCCCCAGAGTATCAGACCCCACCCGCTCCTCTTAAACGCAGGACTCTTTGTTGGATAGTCAACCAATCTGAATAGGTGCTTGATAAATCAGGTGTCGAACGTGGTGCAGATCCCAGCGTTGTCCATTGTATTGATGGTATTGTCTTCTGATAGCTGCCACGCGTCTGGTATCAGGTGAACAAAGCCAGATGACAACCAGAGGGAGAAGGATGAAGACTAGAACTCATATAGCTACGAAGGGGTGAATGTTAAATTAATATATAAAGTTTACACCATAGGCCTACAATAAAAGATCATTTTGAAGGTATAAATGTACTCAAATCCTGTTGTCACTAACATTAAAAGCAAAACAAACCTTTTATTTGCTTACACAAACTGTCAGAGCTTTTATCAAAAGCACAGATAACATGATTTCAGCAGTCAAGCCGGTGAATCATTGTTAAATTCAATAGTGAGGTGCTGGTCTTTTTTAAACAGTAACAAATTTAACCGGTTTAGTATAGTGTTGGCTGACAGAATCTTTAAAAAGTCCAGCCCAAATATGTTGTGGAATACATCTTGCTTTTCATATGTATTTTCCCATACTTGAATTTTATATTGTCACTGGACAAAATAGCATAGGCCTACTTCTGTGACATTTCTTACAGTGGAGACGAAGTAGAAAGAGGCCACAGGATTCAGGTATAGTGTTGTGGCAAACCTGACAGCTCAGATATCAGCTTAGACCTCAGCTCAGTTTGTGTTCATGAAATATGAAGATATAGCTGCAGTTACTCCTTTAGGTATTAAGAGTTTGTTTTTGTTTGAGTTACAGTGGTTACAAAAAAAGTTTTTATTCTTACTAAAAATGTTTCATAGTGTCAGTTATTTTATTCTGATATTCATATCCTAGTTGGTGATTTAGCTAACTTAAAGCTAACTTAGATAGTTTACTTAAAAAAATACTAATACCTAAGTTACTAAGCCAGTTACTGATACTGAAAACATTATTGTTCTGCAAAATGGCATACAAACTCAAAATATCTGGAAGTACTATTAAGATAATGTTACAGTAATGCAACTAGCTGGCTGTCATCTATCTGTCATTTAGCTGTAAGCTAGTGTTATAACTTATTGTTTAGGGGTTTGTTAGCATAGTTGTTGCTAGCATGGCAGCTGGACTATATTTAGCAAAATTTGCTGTCAGATTGAATGGCAGTGCAGTTTTATACAGTCTAGGGTGCAGTTACGTTCGTAGTTTTTGAAATGGCATCAAATAAGGTTACTTGATCTCACGAATTTAACATAACAAATGCTAGCTAACAAGCACAGCAAAATGTGAATTGTCTTTGTTCTCAGAGAACTCTATGTTAAAAAGAAGGTAAGAGTTTGCAAATTTTTGTTGAGTGATTAAAACAAATTAAAATGAAGTGATGGTTGGCAAAATGACATAACATAATAATGTTAATTCAACAGTTATCATAATACTGCACAACTAACATTAATGACACATTCATTACTTAGTGTAGAAGATTTTTGCCTTTAATTTTGGCTATGTTAAGTGACATTAACGAAGAGCAGATTTGTATCCAGTAATTTTACTTTTAATTTTGCTCACTTCTTGTAAGTCAGATTTCACCTGTGTTAGACCCTCTTATAGCCTTGGATATTTTGTGCTCTTTGCAGGCCTGGCTGTTTTGAGGAACAAGTCGACCTCGTAGGATCACAGTGTTTCTTCTTCAAGCTGGTGAGTGACTGGTCTCATTATCACTGTCTAAGCAGCACGTGCCTGGGACACCTAAAAGCTAGGAAACATGCCCTGTCAGTAGACCATAGGTTTGTATTTGGTCATTTTTAGCCTGTAAATGGCAGCACAAAGAACTTGGTAGAGGGATCACTTGTGTAAATGCAGTGAGAAACTCTTACTGAACAATACTGAACTGAACAACAACATGTAATCAATGAGAAAATTTCCATTACATAGTAAAAGCTATGTTGTAGTCAGACACTGTGTTGGTTCTGGATTGAACTGTGTAACCTACATGTTTTTCTGTGTGGAAGGAGGTTCAATTTCCTCTAATCTAAAAAAAAAACATCAGTCGGTCTGTGTATTGTTCTTTTTGTGGGTTATAATGCAAAGTTCACTTTTAAACTATGATTTGTGATCATCACTGCTGGATAACCCAGCAGCAGGCAGGCCGCTCACTGCTTACGTCAAGGACAGTTGTAGTTTGTAGTGGATAGATCACATTAGAACTTCACTGCAATAGCTCAGTAAAGCCATGCTAAAACTAGAGTAATACAATCAATCAATCAGTCATCTCCTGACTTCACAGCACAGGAGTGCTCTGCTGGAATGCTGCTAAGCTGCAGATGTACCAGCCAAATTACTCCAGTGGGGAATTACCAGGCCATAAATCCAGACGTCAGGAGGATGGCTGTAACCTATTTCACGGTGAAAAAAAAAAATCCATGCGACTTGTTTCCATTACCTTCATAGAGAATGTCTCGCTGTGCAGGGCTCAAACCTATCACTGACGACAGATCTAAACATGTATGCATCCAAACACAGCCTCAAATCACGGGGCCTTTAAACAAAACATCATGAGAATCCGCTGTAGTCATTCACCATGTCCTGACAGATCCTGTAAAATGAATGATCTGTGACCTGACAAACTGTGAGAGCAACTAATAATTATCTTTTTGCTCATTCATAATCTCTGTAAATCTAAGGCATGTTGCAGCCTGCAGGTTTTTACCTTTGTGTAGATATAAGCTTAGGTTATCATTAAGTGATCTAACATGCTCATTCAGACTAAACATTTTCATCCTCAAGTGTTACCTGCCTTTTAAGATCCGTCATCATTACATGTTTGTTGTCGGATCTAATGGTATTAGCAAGACACAGGGTCCTTTCACCTATTTTATTTGTGCAGTTCTCATGTAAGTAGAAGGAAAACAACAGACATACAGTCTAGTCAACACGACACAGTAACCACTGGCATCAGATCGTTGGCATGTACTGGGCTTCATTATTGCTAATTAAGATGTATAAATATGCGGTCTGGCGCTTGACTTGTCGTTTGCAAAGGGCCATTTTTTCCATCAAACTCAAAAAGTGCCAAGGTAGACAAGGTGAGGGCACGAGTGCTGGTAGTGATGCTGCAGTGTGTACTCTGTGGGCACATTTCAGCTCAGCTGGCATACATCTGACTGACGCCTTCGGGTGCCAGCAGCTAAACAAGCCCAGGTTTGAGGGGAGCGTGTTGTATATTTGGGCTGAGCTCAGTGAAGTCTGCCAATGTCTTTGAGTGTCTGGCTACATGGTCTCTCATACAGAGCTCCTTGTTGAGCTGCGTTCTCTGGTCATCTTACAGATGATGGCAATGGACAGTTAACAGTAGGAGGCATGGCCAGGAGGATGTGACGTCACTGCACACTGTACTAATAGAAAGTATTAACCTTACATAAGTGAATAGACATTTCAGGCAAAAGGGATTGTTGAATTGAGTTGTTCGATTAAGCACCTTTGCATATTGGTGCTACCAAACAGTGTGCATTTTACTTTAGATTTTCATTTGAATCATTTGGTGTTGGGGTGCTTCTCTCTTCTTACAGAACCATTTTGTGATTAAGTTTGATAAGATGACCATATTTTTTACGTTAAAATGGTAACTGCGCATAGGTGTCATTTGCACTGGGGACGCTGGGGACATGTCCACACCACATTTTGAAATGGCTGATTTTGTCCCCATTACTTTTTGAAAGCATTTGTTAAAAATGCTCTGAAAAATAGCTTGTACCAAGAGATGGTAACTAACAAATCAAAATGCTTTGAGAAAGGTTTATTTGCACAATAACAAAACATGCATTGCAATTTAAATAGAGAAGAAACAAATGAGGACTGTCCAAAAAAAGTTACTTGAGAAAAAAAAAAGCTGCTGATTACTGCAATATAGTTTATTTTTATATTTATAAATTGTCACCTGCTAACTGAATTTTCTGTTTCCCTTTATATAAAAAAATAAATTTCCACCTTGAATTGGAGCAGAAAAAAAAGTTCAATTTTCTTGGGAGGGTATCCAGACACCCCGCTCATATATTTCAGCATTTAATATTTCTTCAGAATAGTGTTAAAAATCTTCTCGTCTTGTTCTCGTGCATCATCATGTCTCGTGACCCAAGTGTTTCATCACGGCCCTAATCTGAACACTGTACTAATAGAAAGTATTAACCTTACATAAGTGAATAGACATTTCAGGCAAAAGGGATTGTTGAATTGAGTTGTTCGATTAAGCACCTTTGCATATTGGTGCTACCAAACAGTGTGCATTTTACTTTAGATTTTCATTTGAATCATTTGGTGTTGGGGTGCTTCTCTCTTCTTACAGAACCATTTTGTGATTAAGTTTGATAAGATGACCATATTTTTTACGTTAAAATGGTAACTGCGCATAGGTGTCATTTGCACTGGGGACGCTGGGGACATGTCCACACCACATTTTGAAATGGCTGATTTTGTCCCCATTACTTTTTGAAAGCATTTGTTAAAAATGCTCTGAAAATAGCTTGTACCAAGAGATGGTAACTAACAAATCAAAATGCTTTGAGAAAGGTTTATTTGCACAATAACAAAACATGCATTGCAATTTAAATAGAGAAGAAACAAATGAGGACTGTCCAAAAAAAGTTACTTGAGAAAAAAAAAGCTGCTGATTACTGCAATATAGTTTATTTTATATTTATAAATTGTCACCTGCTAACTGAATTTTCTGTTTCCCTTTATATAAAAAAATAAATTTCCACCTTGAATTGGAGCAGAAAAAAAAGTTCAATTTTCTTGGGAGGGTATCCAGACACCCCGCTCATATATTTCAGCATTTAATATTTCTTCAGAATAGTGTTAAAAATCTTCTCGTCTTGTTCTCGTGCATCATCATGTCTCGTGACCCAAGTGTTTCATCACGGCCCTAATCTGAACCCTTATGTCCTCACCACTTTTCAACATAAAGTGACGCGCTTGTAACTGGGGCAGCGTAATAGATTAGCTTTTTTTGGATATTGAACATGGTTGTTGTCTCCTTAGCTGAGGGCATAAAAAAGCGTAGGATGGTACTGAAACTATCTCTTTCTCTCAATTATCACTGACATGGAATCCTTTTAGATGGTAAATGTTACTTTCCATCTGAATACTTGTACTTGAATACGAATTGCTGGTTTTGATTCGGCCTTTTGCATGTCTTTTATGACCATTATCAGGGAGCGTTGCAGAGCATTTTTTGACCCTGGTTAACTCGCTGCACACAGAGGCAGTTAGATGGAGGTTGTTTTGGGACTCTTTCCTTGCCCACACTCATCTAGATGGGCCCAGGGATTGAAGCCAGTGGCCAGACCCACTTTATTAAACATTTTCCCCGCTTATCTCATTTGGCAAATGTTGTCAACTGCCACTGCCACCATCTCCTATGGTAGTTATTTGGAAAGCATTAGATTTTGGTTACCAGTCAAGCCATTTGCTGACCACTTGTAGTTTGTGGGAGAGGAATTGCCTCAGATTTGCTGTCCTTGTGGTGATGGGAATATTCGGTTTCTGAAGGGACATTGGGTATAAATCATGCCAGGAACCACTAGTGAAGCTCAGCAGACCTGAGAGGGACTTTAAAATTTGAGCTTTTAAGCTATTTTGATTATTAGTATAAGTGTTGGGAAAAAACAAAAAACAAGGAAGTTATGATTTATATCCTTTTGTCTGTTTGTTGTTCATTGCGGACATGTAGCATGCGACTAATTTAGCAGAACTGTTACTGCAGCTTCAGAAACACTGACACTGTCAGTGCCTTTCTAGTTTCTACCTTGTATTATCTACTTACTATGCATAGCCTACCAGTTTGAAAATGTGTCATTACCGGGCAGCTCCCAGGTGGGAATGTAAACATGTGCATCCTTTCCTTATCTGCAGATACCACAGTAGTCATTTCTCTGCAAATAAAATGGGTCCTTGGCACAGCTTGAATAGATGCAATAGCTAATGGGTGATACGATTCATGTCAAGTGGTCCTTGATTTGCATCATTCAGTTTGGTATTCTCCAAATATACAATACATTATTTCTGACCAGTAATTTAGATTTTGGCTTACATGTGGCTTACATGTGGCTTACATGTGGCTTGCATGTGTGGGAATCCTGACTAATATGACAAGCATGATACAGTAAATGAGGGTCACAGAACAAAGCCCATTATTCCTTTGCGGTGACTAATTAAGAAAAAGAACAATTAGCCAATTGACCAATTAATAACAATCCTCTAATCTACAAAAAGTGATCGGCAGGAAAGATCTGGTGTTTCTTGGCTGTGAAAAGAGAAGCTCCATGGGCATTCTGCACTAGATGAGATTTAAAAGGTCTTTAATCTAATTAATCTGAGATAAATAATGGTTTATGCTATTACAAAATTGCTCATAGAGAGGATTACAATACCATAAAATACAAAGTAATAAGTTTTAATGAAAAGAATTGAAATATCCTTCTCTTGCGTTGTTCCCTCTCTGTCTTTCTGTTTTTTTTCCCTGCACATTAACTTAAGTCATCTACAGTCCTATCAGCACAATTAGGGAGATAACCATTTGTTATGTGAATGTACCATACATGTATCCATTATCTTTTAACAATTTATTCTCAATTAATATGTATCTATTCATATATGAGTTGACTTACTGAAGAGCGAATATATAAAATAAATGCAAATACATGTCAATGGCAAATGTTTCAAGGTTTCTCAGTAATCTGTAACATGCTTTGCCTTCACACTAAAAATCCTATTCTATTCAACTTCCCTGACTTCATAATCCTCACTGCCTTCAAGCACACTAGCCATGGTTTGTTTTTCAAATGTTAAGTTCACTGCAAATAATTGTGAAGCACTTCTCCAAACACCTCAGAGTGTGTGCATCAACACGCTGCTCTTGGCCATATGGACTATCATCATTAGGACTTTGCATGTTCTTTTTCCAGCCTCCAGTGTTATGGAATGTCTCCACTGTTTTCAAAGTGTCACGTAGCTGCATGAAGACCTATCAAGACTTGGCTGGTGAGAAGCTTGCTAGCCTCTACGGACCTCTTTGTAGGGGGGTAAAATACTTCTTGCAATTTGCAAGTGAGATGAGTTGTCAAGCTTCGGAGACATGCAGGTGGCTCAATTTGTCTCCCTGTTTTGATATAGCTGAAGCAAAGTATTGGTAAAACTCCACAAGTCTTTGTGAGTTCAGGGAGTGCTGCAATTAATTATGTCGCCCAAGTTTTGACACACATAACATTATGCTGTCTCTCCCTCAGAGAGATGACGTTGATGTCTTTATTCCATGCCGGCTGTCTGTAAGTCTTCATGCCAGCAGCAAGAAAGAAACATGGTCAGATACATTTGATAAAACTTAGATCAGGCATCTGCAAAACAGTAGT